AACGGTGAGAGGCCCGCGTACCACAAAAAAAAAAAAAAAAAGAATAGAGCAGTAGTAGATTCTTTAAAGCTATGTTGACCAAAAGCTAACTTTATTTTAGAGTCAGCAACAGTGCAGTTTGCCAGTAGCTGAAAGCCCACTCCAAACAGCTATGGTAGGGCAAGCATGAGGCAAATATTGTAAATCAAAGTGGAAAACCCTAACAAAATCTCACAGTAAATCACTGTCCCAAATATTAAGATCATAAGCTTTATAAAAATATTTAACAGCTTTATTGAGATATGATTCACAAACCATAACGTTCACCCTTTTAAAGTATGTAATTCAATGATTTTTGGTAGATTCACAGAGGTGTGCTACCATCACCATAATCAATTTAGAACATTCTCACCACCCCCAAAATTAACCCCATATCCATTGACTGTCATTCCCCATTCCCTCCCAATCTCTCAGTTCTAAGCAACCACTAATCTACTTTCTGTCTCTATAGATTTGCCTTTTCTTGATATTTTATATAGGTGGAATCATACGATGCATGGTCTTTTGTGACTAGTTTCTTTCACTTAACATAATGTTTTCAAGGTTTCGTGTTAAATGAAGTATCGGTGCTTCATTCTTTTTTGGCTGAATAACATTCCATTTTACAGCTATACCACAGTTTATCCATTCATCAGTTGATGGACGTTGGGTTACTTCTACATTTTGGCTATTTTAAATAATGCTGCTGTGAATATTCATGTATGAGTTTTTGTGTGGACATATGTTTTCATTTCTCTTGGGCATATATGTAGAAATGCAACTGCTGGGTCATATGGTAACTCTATGTTTAACCTTCTGATGAACTGCCAAACTATTTTCTAGAGTATTTTATATTCCCACCAGCAATGCATGAGGGTTCCAATTTCTTAATATACTTGCCAACATCTGTTATTTTCCATTGTTTTGTTTATAGCCATCCTAGTGGGTGTGAAGTTGTGTCTAGTTGTGGTTTCGATTTGTATTTTCCTGATGGCTAGTGATGTTGAGCATCTTTCTATGTGCTTATTGGCCATTTGTGTATTTTCCTTGGAGAAATCTTTATTCAGATCCATTTTCCATTTTTAAATTGGGTTATTTAGCTTTTATGGTCATAACCTTTTGTAACATAATTTTTTAAAAAGTTGGAACACATAATCTGAAAAAAAAGATTTTCGTTTGGGCTTGAGGAGTAGTATTTTCCTTGGAGAAATCTTTATTCAGATCCATTTTCCATTTTTAAATTGGGTTATTTAGCTTTAATGATCATAACTTTTTGTAACATAATTTTCAAAAAAATTGGAACACATAATCTGAAAAAAAAGATTTTTGTTTGGGCTTGAGAAGTAGCTTAGAAGCTTTCATTTAGAATCAAATACTGGAATTTCTGTTCCAATGCCACAGAATATTTGAAAATGAATAGAACTTGTAAGATCTTGTAGGCAGGGACTGTCAAGTGAAAATTTATAATGCACGTATGTGGTTTAATCAATATTTTTGATAATGGTAGTGATAATGATGGTACAGTAAGTCAATAAAGTAATATTGAAATTATTTATAAAACTCTGGGGAAACGTGTTCTTTAATTTTTCATCACATAGTTCTACTTTTCATTTGTCAGGGTAATAACTAGGGCTTGCTCTCCAGGAA